TGACCCCTTTGTAACAATGAAAATACATCAAGGCATTAGGAAGGTTGAGAACCACTGTTCTAGAAGGAAGTGTCCACAGAGGAGCCTGCCAGGGGCTGTTCTTGGGCTGAAGTAGGGAAAGCAGCCAAGTGCTTTCCCAGTCAGCCGCTCACCCCACTCATCGTGGCAGTCTGCACCCCATGGCACGCGCTGTATGGGCTGTCTCAGGTGGGCTGGAAAAGCTCCCCACCGTGGGAGATGGTGAGCATGGGGCCTCAGGGGTGAGAGTGCACCTTGCCCCCCAATCTCTCTCCTTCCCCACCTTGCACGCCTCTGCTGGGTCTCCTATGTGGCCCCCACCCCACCCGCTGCAGTGGCTTAGCTGGGCCCCATACCCCCAAGTTTTCTACCCATCAGCCGTCCCTCTCAATGCTGGGGCCCAGAGACCATCCCAATGACCAAGAGGCTGCTTGAACCAGCTCCTACCCAAAGTCTCTGATACCTCCTCACCACTTGCCAAAGAAAGTGCATACGTGCATGTTAATTTATAAAACGTCTACCTAAGTCACCTAACCGTCCACCTGCCATCTCCCTGGGTCCAGGGCAGGCCACGCACAGCTCCTGCCTTCTGGCCCCACTCTTCACTTGTCCTGTGTCCCCACCCTGCTTCTCAAACTGAAATGTGCACACCTGAGGACCCCTGTCAAAATTCAGTTTCTGATTCAGCAAAGCCAGGGCCCTGAGGGTCTGCATTTTCAGGGGACTGCCAACACTGCTGGTCTACTGACCACACTTAGGAGTACCAGGTTCCAGCCACCACTGTCCCCAGAAGCCTGACACCTGCCCCCCTGCCTGCATACTCCTTCCTTGGCCAGGAGGGCCCTTTCTCCTTCCTCCTACTGATGACCAGGGTAAGGGGGGCAGCACTGCCACAGGCACCACACCAGGTGTGGTGTGTCAGTTCAGTCAACCCACACAGCCCTGTAAGTTAGGGTCAGGTGTGAGGGTTAGTCCTCATCGGTTGTTCTTACCCCATCACAGGGCTCATCTGGACCTGTGGTGACTCCTTTACAGAGACAATATTCCTTCATTATTATACCCAATTTATACATAAGAAAACTTCAAGAGGCTAATTAGCATTTGACTTTCTAATTTCTTAAGCAGGGCAGTTGTTTGAACTCAGATATACTGACTTCAGATGATAATAAAATCCTATCTACCCTGTTTTCAAAAACCCAACGCAAGTATCTCGTATTACTCCTGAAGCCTCCTCAGATCCCTCAGCTGGGGGGAGAATCCTCTCCGTCCTCTTTTTTGATCTTGTTTTTCATATTGCCTCATACTATAGAGAGTTTTGTCAGCCTGGGCATGACCTCCCAGGCCGGGGGCACCCAGGCTTCCTGCAGCACCCTGAACTTCGCCAGTGCTCAACAAATACGTGTCAAAGGAATTCTGTAAATCTGTTTATTTCTCTATTTCTGTATTTCCTCTGTTTTTCCTCGGCGCCTTAGTAATTACTCTTTTTGCCTTTTAAGTGCCAAGTTTGCACCAGTTAACAGGAAAAGAAGTTTTCCTTTCTGTAAGCATTTTTTTTCAGAATCCAGAATAATACATATTCATTTTACAAAAGTTGGAAAGTAATGGCAAAAGTTAAGTAAAAAGTAACCTTGGATTATTTGATCCCGGGATTTTGCCAACTCAGCACTACTGACGCTCAGGGCTGGATGGCCCCCTGTGGCAGGGGACTGTCCTGTGCTCTGGAGGACACTTAGCCTCATTCCCTGGACTCCACCCACTAGATGCCATTAGCACCACCCCACCCAGTTGTGACAACCACAAGTAGGTCCACATTGCCCTTTCTCCCTGCCCTGGGGACAAAATTGCCCAGCTGAGAACCAGTGCTCTGCCCCAGTGGAAGCACCTTCTGTGTGTTGGTACATCTCTTTCTAGTCTAGAAAAGGGACTTTCCACACCTGAGTCAGAAGAGACAAGGTCCAAGACACAACCGGGTTAGGGATGACGGTATCCTCAGGGCTGGGACCTGAGATGCCCAGCAGAGAGCCAGACACCCCGCAGGCTGATGGGTGAGGGCAGCTGGGCCTGGTGGGGCTCCCCTCCAAGAGCCTCCTCTTTGGAGCCAGAGCAAACCCAGACTGAAATCTTCCCTCATTGAAAAGATCTTAAGGACCATTTTACCAAATCCTACAGCAAACTCAGCATCTGACCTTATGGGATCATTTTAGTCACTTTTGGGCAAAAACAATATTGCCCAATATCTAACCAAACTTGGCTCCAGATCACTTTTAGCAACTTCCAGCAAAATGAAGTCCCCCCACAAAGGGTGAGGTGTTGCCCCCAGTGAGGTCAGTCAGAGAATGTGCTGGACAAGTCCAGGGAAGTGGCCCCCAGGACATCTTGGCCGATGACGTGTGACCCTCATGAGCTGAGACCCACACGGCCCAGTCTCCAGACTGTGTTGCGGTCCAGGCAACTGAAGACAAATCCAAGGTGACTCACGATCTTTATGTGCCTTTCCCAAACGCTGTGAGTAACAGTGAACCCCATGATAACTCCACCACATTTTTCTCTCATCTCTGTCCCTGAGGACCTGTGGCACTTCAGCACCCCTCTCCCCAGCCCAGCCCACCCCACCACCTCCACCTTAACCTCCCCCCAACAAGAGTGAATCCCCCTTTCCAGGAGGTGGGAGGCCGGATGGAGAGATTGGGCTGATACAGGCCCTGGAATAGATCATTTCCTTATTAATAATTTTTACCCCTTCCTAGACCTCATGTGGACCTGTGGTGGCTCCTTTAAGGAGGAAATATCCATGCTCAAGTCCAAGTTTCCTTATATTTGTTTTCAATTTGTCCCATTATATATCGGTCTCGTGCCATGTCCTGACAGGGGACACCTGCGGCTCTGAGAGCCTGCTGGGGTTTTGTCCTGCTGTTCCACCCAGCCCAGTCCATTTGACAAAGACGTTTTTGGAAACACTGTTTTCCTTCTTCTTTAATCCTCATGGAGGGAGCAGTTGTTCTGGGCAGTGAGAAGCCTATAATCTCCTTGAATTAGAAGGAGCCTTGGAAGACGATTCCAAGCTGTGCTCTCAGCTGACGATCTAACCCGGGCCAGGTTTGCTGAATGTCCGTGATTTGCACCGCATTGTGCAAGAGCTTGTAAGGAAGTGATCTGACCGTATATTAAATATACTCCCTGACCCCCAGAGTGTAACAGTCCAGCAAAGAGAGCAGGTAGGTATCTGAGTATAGCTCAAGACAGACGGTGAATGTTCAAACCACGTGGAGAGTAGGTAACACCGCAGTCCTATGCCTCCGATGCAGTGACTTCTGGTCATGTGTGGCTAAAGTTAAATTAATTAAAATGAAATGAAACTTGAAATTCAGCTCCTCAGCCACACCAGCTGCACAGCAAGTGCTGAATAGTGCACACCGCCGACCGTCCTGGAAACGTTTCCACCGCTGCAGAAAGCTCTATTGCACAGCTCGGCTCTGGGACATGGTGAAGTCGGAGGGGAGGGAGTCAAACTGGGAACGAGCAGCAGGCAGAGGTCTGGGACTCATTCAGTCTCCTTCTCCTGCATGCACCACATCTAATCTGTCACCAGCCCTTGGTAACAGCGCCCAGAGAGCCCCTCTCCTTCCTGTGCGTCCCCTGTGTCAGGTGCTTTCCAGGGCCGCTGGCCGTCTCCCAGACCTCAGCCCACCCAGGACAAACATCTTCATCTGGCTTTTCCAGGGACTGGACGTTGCCCCAAAATTTTACATGCATCTCCCAAGGAATCTTGTCATAAGATGGGACTTTATCCCACATGGAACAGCTTTGGCATCAAGAATACAATTTAGCTCGGCGTCCAAACACTTTGTTTCGACACAGCATTGACCATCCCTCAGCCATCACCACCCCT